ACAACAACAACCCTGTGAGGTGAGTTGGGCTGAGAGAGAGGGACTGGCCCAGAGTCACCCACCCGGCTTTCACACCTCAGGCTTTCTGGGGTTGAGAAACCCTGGTGTAGATACTCCACCAGTCGTGAAAGGAGGAAGAAGCGTCTCAGATACGAGAGCTGATTTTGGACAGCTGGTTTGGGAAGAAAAGCCACCTAATCACCCTCTGAAATGTTACATGACCTTGTTTCCCACCCTTTGGGTTTGCTCTCCCTGGCCTAGATAGAAGGACAGAAAGTAAACAAGGCCAGCTGGAAAGAGACTGTTTTGGTTTGTTATTTTATAGATTGAACATGAGAACAAGAGGTCCCCCCTGCTCCCTCTATCCTGCATTAGCATTTTAATGTTTTTCCAACATGCATTGTCCAGAGGATTTGAGGCTGCTTCTCTCTGCAACTGAGCTATGCAATTAAAAATAAACATTTTAGTAGAAGTTGTCCGAGGGCCACTTTGGTGTCGTCGTGAAGCACCAGGGTAGAAACTGGGAGACCGTGAGTTCTAGTCCTGCCTAGGCAGAAAGCCAGCTGGGTGACCTTGGGCCAGTCCTTCTCTCTCAGCCCTGGGAAGAAGGAGGCAAGGACAAACCGCTTCTGAAAAATCTTGCCAAGAAAACTTCAGGGTCTAGTCCAGGCAGTTGCTAGGAGTCAACACTGACTTGAAGGCACCAGAAAAAAAAAGAAAAAGTTTCAGTCTTGCTGCTTATTGCAGCAAGGAGGGAAATCACAAAGCAGTACATGGGTTAAAAGACCTGGGCAGAATTGAAAGGTGTACTTACTTGGTATAGACGTTGAGGGCTGCAGTGCTGGAACCATCTTTAAAGAAAGTTGCAGGCAGTTTGATCAGTTCAAAGTCCCTCCTAAAAGCGATAGTTTGTTCTCCAGTCTTTCCTCTCCTAGCACCTCTCCACCCTCCCTTCAATTTCAGCAGGAGCGAGGAAGGGCAGATTGCTCTCCCCAGGCTTGGAAACGTTACCCGATTTGTGTGTGTTGCGGGGGAGGCTTCCAGGTGCTGGGGTCCCAAGTGATAAAAAGCTTGTGGGTTAAAGCAGGGCTATGTTCTGAAGAGGGGGACGTTTTTGAGACCTACAAAGGCAGCCCCGTGCACAAGTGGTAGTCATGCCAAGCGTGGTGGTCATGGGTGGTAGTCATGCCAAGCGTCCTAGTCACGCCTAGGTGTTTCTGTAGTGCGGAGAACCTTTTTTAAAGCCAGGAGCGCTCATAGTTGGCAAGACATCTAAACTGGTGAAAAGGGCATTACATCTGCATTCCGTTTGGGTTTCCATAGTGTAATGTTTGGGGCTTATTTAATATTTATTTTTATTTGATTCATCTCCCCCCTTTCATTCAGGAGCTCAAGGTGGCGTATGGAGCACTCACTCCTCCCACTTTTCTCCACAATGACAACCCTGTGAGGGAAGTTGGGCTGAGATGGTACCTGGCCCAAGGTCACCCATTGTCAAGCCCTTTGAAGAAGGCAACTTCAGGAAGGCAGGGTCATGTGGATTTCTGGAAAAATCTTTATGGTTAGAAGACTTTATTGTAACAGAACCTTGAGGCCCATGAAAGCAGTTCTCCAGATGAACTTATACCTAACATAATTAAGGTGGAATGACTCCGAGTTTCAGTCTCACATTTCTCACCCCCACCACTGCCATCCCCCAGATTCTGGCATCTTTTTGGTAATGTCCCTGCTTTCTACTGTAAAGGATGGGCTCCCTCCACCATGTTCCCAAGCTCTGTTAGACATTTCATCACACTCAGGGAGGTTCTGTGGCTGAGAATCACGGTCTCTCTGGTGCCACTTCAGCACCAACATTACCCCACATTGCCTCTAAGGTTGAGAGGGAGAGAGAGACTGGCTTAGTCCCCCGGGAAGCTTCTGTAGCCGGACTTAAACCTGAGTCTTCCCACTCCCACCCTAGCACCATCACTGCTACACCATATTATGTGAATATGACTCTGATTTTGGTGCAGTGGTCCTGGTGTGCATTTTGAGTTCTATTTTGCAGGAGACTTTATAGATAGATACAGATACAGATATAGGTACAGGTATAGATATATGGATTGACTGTGGAAGTGGGATATGGAGTCTGGATTTGTAGCTTCACTCGAGCTTGGAAACACTCAGTGATGCTTGGGATGCTACAGCAACTGGACTGGAAACACTCCAAGATGATTTTCCTCCTTTACTTTGCCTTACAGAGCAGACATTGTATTAGACAAAGAAGGATCCTATCCAAGGCGGCATTTTCTGCCCACTCTGGTGGCAAAAAAACAGCGACCGAAACATCTTTCCATGGGGTGAACTTCGAGTTCTCTTGGAGACATGGCAGATTTGCAAGTCCTGATTTGACACTGTTGTGCCAATAACTGTCTGTCCCTTCCTCACAAGCTTGTCTGAATCCACCAGCTTCACCACCTGCTTCACTAATAGTCATGGAATTTGAATACTCTTCAGCAGAAGATCGATGAGGAGCAAGAGATATTCAGAGAAGAACTGAGACACATGAGACCTGTTTTTGTTTTCTTTGAATTGAAATGAAATGAAGGGTCTTGGGATTCTTCCTAGCAAGGTTTCACATTGCATAGGGACCAATGCAGTAATGCAAACAATCATTCAAAATGGCTTGGCAACTGTGGTTGTTATACTGGCTTGCTAATGACCAGAGTTTGTTTCAATGTGCACATTAGCATAGCTGAATCTTGAATTGCAGTTCACTTTTTGAGAGAAACTACCAGTATTAGCTTAGCACAGGGTTTTCATTGCAGTCCTCACCAGTTTCATTTTTAAACACACGGTTTGGAGCTGATCCTCTGGAGAAAACTGGTTTTAGTGCACTGTGTTTGGGGCTGGTCCTCTGGAGAAAACTGGTTTTATGCTGTACCGGGCACCTAATCTCCAAAGTATAATTCACTTGGCACCCTGCTACTGTGTGTCTCTCCATAATGGCTTTTCTCTTGAGATTTGAGGTTACTGCTTGGCTGGTTGTTTAGGGCTGTTGATATGAAATAACTCGGTGTTTTGCAGACAGAGAAGATGGCGTGAAGAGAATGCTTCATCTTCTGTCACCTCACGTATCAGGAAATCCCTGCATTGCAGAATGTGAAATGACTTATTAGTCTCCTCTGCCTTTTTTTAATTAAACAAATCTGACATCCTCTGACTTTTTGTTCTCTCCCCCCTCCCCCCCTCTTTTTTTTTTTTTGGGTGCATGCAACTGTATAACTTCACAGATGGAGTGGACCCTGTATTTTTATATGACTTAACAGTCACATGTATATGCGGCTGGGAGGGTGAATATATTCATAATGTATTTAAAGAAGGAAAATAAAACTTTTTGCAGACTTTTAAACGTTTGAACATGATGGTAGAGGTAAAAATGTGCCTGAAAAACTAGATTCATAATTCAGTGGAACTCTGTGCCAAAGGAAGGAT